GCCACCTACTGGCTCTTATCACCGTGGTGGCAGCGGTGATCTCTGAGCTCCCCTCCCCCTCCGGCCACGGCGTCCTCCCCCACAGTGCTAGCCCGTGACGTCTGAGAGCCGTGTCACACTCGGGGCTCATGGCAAACTAAGAGGAGACGGAGGGGGACGTTCGGGGTCCCTGGCTGGACTCTGGACGGACCCCCAGGGAAGGTGCCACTCTCTCTAGTGACGCCTCCCGCCGACCGCAGATGTCGCTCCTGGGCGAGCCGGGGAGGTGGCACCAGGAGGCGGTGCCTGGAGGGCGGGAGAGAAGGGACCGCGCTGGATCGGGGACCAGCAGGTGCCGACTGTGTCTCCGGAGCCCGAGGCCAACTTCACCGGAGCCATGGCCACGCCCATCACGGCCGCGGCCCCGCCCCACCTGCCGAGCCCGCCCGGGCGCAACCGGGTCGCCGCAGCCGGTGAGCTCCCGCGCGCCACCGGGGTGCCGGCAGGGGGCGCGCGAGCCGGGCCGAGGGCGGGCGGGGGACCCCGCGGGAGGCGGGATTGGGGGGAAGGACCTGGGCCTCCGGCCGCCCCTTGCCCGCCCAGTCGGTCCTCGCGGATCCCCAGGCGCCCGGCAAGAGCCGAGGGTCCCCGCCCGCGCGCCCTGCCTGTCCGGAGCGCGGCGACTACCTGTGGAGTCCGAGCGGACGCCCCCTCCCCGGGCACCCATTGCTCCTCCTTCGGAAACCTCCGGTCCAGCTACGCGCCTCTCGGACAGGTGGCGCCGGGACCCGGGGCAGGGCTGCCAGCTTGCAGCTGGTGACATGTAGGCGCCCCTGGTCCAGCCTCAGAACCTGGGCGCCCTTCTGCCCGCAAAGTTTGGGGCCAGGCGCCATGGCCAAGAGCAGCTCCCTGAATATCCGCGTGGTGGAGGGCCGGGCGCTGCCCGCCAAGGACGTGTGAGTACCCCGGGGGCCTGGGGGCGAGGGGCGCCAGGCGCGGGTGGGCTGGACTCGCCCGTCCCCGTGCGGGAGCGTCGGTGGGAGGACGGGGGTCTCGACTGGGAACCGGTATGTGGGCAAGTCCGCCTTCGCGAGGCCGGGCGAGAGGCCCCTTGCCCACCGCTGCCTGAGAGGGGGCGCCCAGGATTGGCACCTGCCCCGCCCCGCCCCGGGATGGGGGCGTCTGTCCCCTGGACGTGCTGCGGGGATGGCCCCAGGGGAATCCTATCCAAGCCAGGAGGGAGCTGCACGGTGGATTCCTCAGTCCGGGCAGGGGCCGTGGAGCCTTTTCTCCAGGCCTGGGGGGTGGGGAGAGGGGGGTGGGGAGGTGGCCATGACCGGGCTTCAGGGAGGAACCCCAGAGTGTGGGGATCAAAAGGGCCCTAACAATCTATATGTGTCACCTTCAGGTTGCAAAGCATCCCATGTGGCCCTCAGGGCTCAGAGCCCTGAGCACCCAGTGTTGCCACAGCTCAGTGGCCTTCCCTGGATGTTCAGCCACTTAAAGAGTCAACTGCCCCTCCAGCCCCTCCCCTGCCCTTGTGATGGGGCTGAGGACCCTTGGGGTCCCCTCAGTCTCAGCCCCTGCTGTGGTGCCCCAGGCTGAGTCAGCAGTTGCTGAATCAGCAGAACGAGGTGGGGGAGGGGCCGTCCTGAGGGTGCCAGCTGCAAGACAGGGGTGGAATCCTTGGGAGGGCATTTGCCCAGTGACCTTGAACCTGCTTCTCTCTGGGCCTGGGTCTCCCTCCCCTGGGGCTGAGGGAGCTCTGGATGGAGTCTCCATCTGGATCTCAGGTTCAGCTGTGAGCTTGGGGGACCTGGAGGGAGAACCTGTGGCAGGATGGGAGCAGGGACACGGGCTGGGAGCCTCTGCCCATGCCAAGATTGGGGCTCAGTCCTGCCTTAATCCCCCGAGCCGTGGACCCCAGCCAGGAGTACCCTGCCTCTGACTTCGGGAGCCTGCTGCCTCCCTGCCGCACGTTAGAGCAACCCGGCCACCCCCTTTCCCATCACCACCCCAGACAGACTGCAATGAGAGCAAACGTGCAAGTGTATCCTGTGTCACCCTCTTTCTGGGACGTCCTCAGAGTTCCTGAGAAGTAGAGATTATGGACCTGGTTGGGCAGAGGCCAGGGGTGGACCTGCCCGTTGCTGGAGAGTTGAAGAGCCCCGTCCAGAAAGTGGCTGCCCATTTTGCTGAGGTCTGGCTCCTCCGTCAGTCCTGGGAGGAGGTGGCCAGTGTTGTCCCTGGGCCAGCATGCTGGCCTCAGCTCCTGCCAGGATATTGGCCCCGGCTCCTGGTTCTCTAGGGAAGGATTTGAGGCACGTATCATTCCTGCCTCTCCCGGCCACCCCTGCTCCCTCGAGTTCCCTGGTCAAGGTGAGCTCTGAGGTGGGTGATGGCCCACAGCAAGGACAAGGGGGCCTCATTCTGCCTAGCTGGGGACCCAGCCACCCTGCCTCTTGGGGTGGCTGTGCCTCAGGGGCTCCTGGTGGCCAGTGCCCTCTCAGTCCGGGCATGTGGAGTGGTCATGATTCACGCAGGCTGTCAGTCACCGGGGCTCCTACGGCCAGGCCCTAGGCTCTGCACTTCTGCTTTACTAATGGGGAGACTGAGGACCAGAGAGGCAAGTCACGGGCCTGAGGCAGCACAGCTTTGAATGCTGGCCAACGCAGTGCGAAGTGCAGACTGGGCAGGGCTGCTTTCCTGCGCCTGAGCTGGGGCCGTGGGAGAGGCCAAGAGTCTGGGGAGATCAGGGTCCGGTAGAGGCCCGCCCCTCGTGCCACCGCCGCCCCTACCCGATAGGGGCCTGATAAGGCCACTGTGCGTCAGAGCCCGGGGTTGACGTGTGGAACTTGGCTCCCATGAGGGACCTGGGGTCAGGCCGGGTCAATGGGGAGGGCTGGTGGGTCCCAGCAGGGGTGACCCATGTGTGCGCTAGGGAAGCTGAGCGTGGGTTCTGCCCAAGGGAGGCTCAGGGACAAAGAGCTCCACACGGGCCATGGAGACACAGGTGTCACTCGGCAACAGGGTCCAGAGGGTGGGGGAGCGGAGGCTGGGGTCACCCAGTCCTGCAGTTGGGATGGAGCTGGAGGGGGAAGGAGTCCTGGGCACCCTGGGAAGGAAGTTCCAAGGTGGAGCCTGGAAAGGGAACCACACGGTCCTGCCTCAGCGACCTCAGCAGCCGGGCGCCTGGCCGCAGGACCTGGTGGTCAGGGCTGCCCTCTGAGGAGGTGCCTTTGGAGGAGGTTAGAATGGGGCCCTCAGGGATGGCCTAGGATTCCCTGTGGCTGCTGTCTCGAGGAGGGCCAGAGCTGACCAGATGCAGGAGGCCACACAGACGTCCCCTGGGGTCCCCAGCCTGTGCCTGTAGGTTCATCTTGCTGAGGATGGGGATTCTGCTCTCCAGGGAAACACCCCAAAAATGAAGACCTGGGGGATAGTGCTTGTCCCAGCAGGCAGAATGGGGGCCCCATCAGGGAGGGCTCGGGGACTGGCCCATGATCCCTCTGTCCGTCGGTCCCTCCTACACCCAAGAGGCTTGTGTTCAGCCATGTCCAGTTTCTAGAACAGCAAAACAGAGGCCCAGAGAAGGGACGGGACCTGCCAGGCTTATACTACGGGTGGTGGCAGGGTGCAGCCAAGTGTCTGAGACCCCCAGTGCAGGCCCTTGGCCACTGTTCTGAGCTTCCTGGCTGTTAGAGGGAACTTTCTGGCTTCAGGGTTCCACTTCTACAGTGGAAGCCCAGAGCCCATGCATGTGGTGGGCCAGGCACGCTATGCATCTTGCCTCTGATCGACGTGCTGTGTGACCCTGGGCAAGTCTCCTCCCCTTTTTGGGCCTTGGCTCACCCTACCCGAATAATGAAGGTGGATGGGAACTCCCACCCATGGGTACTCTTTCCCATCTCTTCCACAGGTCTGGAAGCAGCGACCCCTACTGCCTCGTGAAAGTGGATGACGAGGTGGTGGCTAGGTGAGGAGTGGGGAGGGGCCTGCCTTCCAGTCCTGGAATCCAGGAATGGGAATCCATATTTTAAAGAGGAGCTAGGAGGTCACTGTTACCCCACAGGGGACATGTGGGCTGAAGGTGGCCACTCTCTGCCCTGGCCAAGGCTGCCAGCTGCTGTCCCCATCCAGCCCCACTGGCCACTGATGCCCTTCCCTGGGACCTGCGATGCTCCTGCTGCGTCCCTGGGGCTGACTCAGCCGCTGTCAGTCTGTGCCTCCCACAGTGGCCTCCCTGGGGGCGGGCACCGCACGCTCCGCTGGACTGGCTGTTCCGGGCCTGCTGGTGCTGCGGGCACTTGTGAGCGTGTGTGAGCGCCTGTGCATCTGCCTATGCCTACCCAGCATGGCCTGCTTGTGAGTGTGGGTGTGGGTGTTGCAGAGCGGGTGTGAGTGCGTGTGACCACGTGTGGCTGTCCTTGTGGGTGTGCAGGCCCGCAGGGCTGTGTGTGCCCGTGTGTGGCGTGTGACATGGGTGTGCACAGGTGTGCACACGTGAGCACCAGGGCCCGCCTACTTGGTCACGCGGGAGTGAACCCGCGAGGGTGAGCTGTCGTGTTTAGTGCACGGGTCTTTGAAGGGGGCGTGGCGCCGGCTGCGCGGGGCTCCCACCCGCAGCCGCAGCCGAGGGACAGCGCTCAGCCCCCATGGGCCTGAGGCGGGTGGGCGGGCGGCGGAGGCCTCGGTTCCTATGGAGACGGCAGGATTCAGGATGCTTCTGGCGCCAGTTCTGGTCCAGATGGGCCGGGAGTGGGGGTGGGGAGGCCACCTTGGGGGTCAGCTGCAGCACCCTGGCTGACCTGCGTCGTTCTCTCTGTGCCCAGGCGCCCCCTGGCCTTGTCCCGAGATGCTGCCCCCAGACTCACAGATTGAGTTTTCATGTGACCCTGGGCTGCCGAGTCCCCTTTTTGGGTTGTGAGGAGCCACCTGGGTCAGGGGGTGGGGAGCCTGAGGGGACCTGGGTGGGAAGACGCTGGGGTGGAAGGTGGGGCCGTTTGGGAGGACGGTGCCCAGGGCTGGGCATGTTGGGGGGGATGCGTGTGCGCACTTGCGCATGCGCTCTCCTTTGGGGCAGTGAGAGGAGAAGGGAGCACCAGGGAGGAAGCCCCGATTTGCAGCCGTGACTCTGGGTGCATCTTCAGTGGGGCGGAGCCGATTCTTTCTTCCCTGTTGGGTCAGAGGAAGTGCGTCTGCAGGCTGCCAGGGCCCCGATGCTGCGAGCCTGTGCCGCTTGCCTGCTTGTCTTGGTCCCTAGCCCCCTGTGGTCACCCTGGCTAGCTGCATGCTGTGAAACCCCGGGTGCTTTGCCCCTTCTGACTTCACGGTGGCCCTTGACGCTCCCTCGTTTTCCACCCAACACTTTCCTGAAACGTTTGTTTCTGCCTTGGGGCCTTTGCACATGCTGTCCTGCCACCTAGACCACTTGTTCTCATCATCTTGCTCCTTTTTGCCTGACTAGCTCCTGCAGGAAGACTTCCCCCCTCCCCCACCCCTCTCTCCCGCACCTTACCCACCTGGACACGTAGAGCGCCCCCCAATCACCAGGCTGCTCCCTCAATCTGGGTGGAGGTCATGGAGTGAAGGAGCAAATGGAATTGGGTGGGTGTGAGTGTGTGTGTGTGTGTGTGTGTGTGTGTGTGAGCTGTGTATAGCTGTGGTTTGTGAGTGTCTCTGGGTCTTTGTGTGTCTCTATGTTCTGACGTGTCTATCTGGGTGACTGTATTTATGAATGTGTTTCTAGAAATTTCTGAGCATGCGTATGTGTATCCATACGCATGTGTCTCTGGCTTCCTTGGTGTATCTGGGAGTGTCTGTGTGTATCCCTGTGCATGTGTGTATGCATATGTACTCATGCACATGTGTGTCCCTGGGTGGGTGCATGTGTTTGGTTCCTGTTGCTGTGACAAAACTACTGAGGAAAACCACTTGAAGGAGCAAAGGTGTATTTTGGCTCCAGGTTGCAGGGTCTCAGTCGGTGGTGGGGCCTCCCGAGCTTTGGGCCTGAGTGAGGCAGAGCATGGGGCAGAGGGTGCAGCGGAGTCAAGCTGCCTACCTCCCAGCTGCCCCTCAGTGGGTGAATCCAGGGGCGAGGGCGAGCGCCCGATCCAGGACAGCCAGCCTTTGGGGGACAGTCCACACCAAGCGTGATAGTGTGCATCCGGGTCTCAGGGTGCCCAGCCTCCCCTCCCCCCTCTTGCAGGACAGCGACCGTCTGGCGGAGCCTGAGCCCCTTCTGGGGCGAGGAGTACACGGTGCACCTGCCCCTGGATTTCCACCACCTGGCCCTGTACGTGCTGGACGAGGACACCGTTGGGTGCGTGGCGGGCAGGCGGGATGCCCAGGAGGTGAGGCATGAGGTCATCGCCCAGCCCTTGAGGGCTGCCGCTGCTCCCTGACTCCCCTCTGCCTTCCCGCAGGCACGATGACGTCATCGGCAAGATCTCCCTGAGCAAGGAGGCCATCACGGCTGACCCCCGAGGTGAGCAGGGGCACCCTTGGTGGAAAATGATGTCCGCTGTGGTTTCTGTTTTCACCTTCAAATTCAGTCCATGCGCTGGGCAGTTCACCCCTGGACGTGGTTGAGCATCTCACTTCATCAAAGGGAGCGAGATTTTCCTCCTTCCCGGGGACTGCGGCTTCTTCCAGGATGGTCAGCGTCTCCAGGGCCCTTCTAGAATCTTCTCCTCTTTCTCCCTCCCTGTCCCTCTCTGTCTCTGTTATGTGCTGGGATGGAACCCAGGCCTCCCACGTGCTGGGCAAGTGCTCTCCCCTGAGCCACACCCCAGCCCTAGAGATTTTCTAAACAGCACAAGAACTACGGACTGGGGGCTGCGAGCCACGCCTGTAAGCCAGCCACTTGGGAGGCTGAGGCGGGAGGATTAAAGTTCTGATCTAGACACCAGAACAGGGCAAGGAGAGAGGGTGGCCCGGGAGTGTCCGCAGGTGGGAGCTGGACAGGCACGTGGAGGTGGCGGTGGGCGGGGTGTTGAGGGTGGGCGTGGCCAAGCGAGGTTTCCCAGAGTACAGGGAGGAGGTGACTCTGGAAGCCACTATGGTCCAGGGGCCCCTGGGGACTCCTGCAGAGTCAGCCCTCGGCAGAGCTGGGTGGGGTCCACGGAGACAGCTGTGGGTGCAGGCTGGAGTCTGGGTTTCCTTCCGGAAGCAATGGGGAGCCATTGATGGTTCTTGAGCAAGACAGGGAAGAGATGGGAGCTAGCTTATCAGAAGGAGGAGTGACAGCAGGGCCTGAGTATGTCTTCAGGAGGTCCCTGTGGTTGCCTTGGGGTTACTGCTACCCAAAGGGACAAGAGTGGACCTGGGAGAGGAATTAGGGGTCTGTGGCAATGATCAAGTGACAGGAAGCCGACGACATCCTGGATTGGGGGTGGGGATGTGGAGATAGAAGCTAGATGGGGACTTCTGCGTCTAGCAGCACAGGGGACTTCAGATGTGCCCTCCTGCAGCAGCCCAGCTGGCTGGGCAAAATAACACGGGGTGACGAGCAACTTGTGTAGATTGATACAGCAGGAGTGGGAGCCGTTTATTGTAGGACAACAGAGGTATTTATACTTTCCACACAGCTTATCTAATTAGCATAAACTAGATACAGCAGTCAACCAATCAGGAATCTCCACACTTAATGGCTCGCTGGCGTTACTTCACAAACCACTTCCTCTGGCAAAATGCCAGGCGCCATCCTGACTTGTTTACAGACCTTAACACCCTCCTGCCACATCACGCAAGATCCCCAGGACCTCACTGGATTTGCCGTCTAGAAGGAACCCCTCTGAGTGTCTCCCCACCCTCAGCCACAAGCTGAACCTGCAGGGAGGGGAGGGGCAAGCCAGGGGATGAGGAAGGGTCTCCTCGTGTTGGCAGAGTCCAAGGTGTGGGCTGGGGGCACAAGGCAGTCACCCAGAACAAGGACAGCCCCTGAGGCCGAGCCCCTCACAGGCTCCCAGGGTGTGCAGGGAGTGCCCCTCTCCAGGGCTCCACACCCGCGAGGTGTCCCACAGGGGAAGGTCACACAGACAAGACTGCACTGTGGATGATCACCAGGCTCCCTCAGGTCCAGGCTCACAAAGGCTTCAGATTGTGTTGTTATGTCTTTGGCACCAGGGATTAAACCCAGGGGCACTAAACCACTGAGCCACGTCCCCAGCCCTATTTTGTACTCACCAATGCTGAGGCTGGCTTTCAATTTGCGATCCTCCTGCCTCAGCCTCCCCAGATGCTGGGATGACAGGCATGCGCCATCACACCTGGCTAAAAAATCAAAAATCAAATATTTAAAGAAATAAAATGGGTAGCCACAGAAAGACCAACATGAACAACAAAATGTTAAAGCAATAATTTAAAGAAAAATAAGCAGATCTGGTTGAGAATGTGTGCCTAGCATGCATACGGCTCGGGTCTGATCCCCAATAGCACAATGAATGAATGAATGAATGAAAACGTGAATAAACAGGTGGATTTTAAAATGTAACCAAATGAGCTGGGGGCGGTGGTCCATGCCTGTCATCCCAGCGGCTGGGGAGGCTGAGGCAGGAGGATCGTGAGATCAAAGCCAGCCTCAGCAACTTAGTGAGGCCCTAAGCAACTCAGTGAGACCTTGTCTCTAAATAAAATCCAAAATAGGGCTGGGGATGGGGCTCAGTGTCGAGTGCCCCTGAGTTCGATCCCTGGTACCCCTCCCCATCCCCCCAGAAAAAAGTAACTGAACAAAATTTTTCTAGAAAATTACAATTATTGAAGTCCAATACTAGGTTTTTAGTTCACCTTGGTTTTAATTCTAACCTAAACCGAGTTCAACGTCAGCTCATGCGGAGCTGCAGGGAGAGCCCAGTGAACCAGAGTCCAGAAGAATCATCCAGAATCCATTTCAGGGAACAAGGAGAAGAAAGATGCATGAGAGCAGGCAGAGGCCTGGAGGAGGACGGGGGAGGTCTAATATCCGATCAACTGCAGCTCCAAAGGGGAGGAGAGGCAGTGACCGGGACAGAACGAAGAGCCCAGGGTTTCCCAGAGCTGGAGGAGGGGTCCGGGTGCCTGACAAGGCTCCAGCTCTGCCCTTTCCTAGCTGTGGGGTCTGGGTCTCTGCCTGGCCTCACTCTCGCCATCGGAGCAGGGACTCGCGGCATCTGCAGGAGGAGGCTGCCTGGGCCGAGGCTCCACGTGTGCTGCGGGCTCTGGGGTTTAAGCCAAGCCGGCTCCTGGCGCCCGTGGGTGCTCACTCAGCATTAGCGCCTGTGCCCTCCAGGGATCGACAGCTGGATCAACCTGAGCCCTGTGCACCCGGACGCGGAGGTGCAAGGTGAGATCTGCCTGGCGGTGCAGGTGCAGGAGGATGCCCACGGCCGGTGTCTCCGCTGCCATGTGCTTCAAGCCAGGTATGGCCCTGATGGAGGTGGCATGGGGTATGGGGGGAGTTCTGAAAATGAGCAGGAACCCCTGGGTGTCCCCTGTGCCTGGCCTCCTCCTCTCACCTGGTGCACTTCTGAGCTCACAGCTGGGATGCTGTGTGGACAACGGCCCAAGCTCCACAGATTGCAAAAGGAAGCACAATTTTGCTGGGCGCTCAGTGATGGGCAATAAGCGGCTAGACTCTCCGCAGGATGGCCAGGCAGACATTCATCCAATTATAACTGACTCAGTTCAGACCGGCTTAACCAGAAGCGCTATTTTAATGGCTCACGGAACGGGCATGTAGCTTCTGGTATGGCTGGATCCAGGTGCTCACAGGGCGGCATCAGGGACTGTACATGTCTTTGGCTCCGCTGCCCTCTGTGTTAGCTTCCATCTTAGGCAGCCTCTCCCAAGGTGGGGACAAGAGGGCCCCGCGGTCCCAGGCTGGCGTCCTACCAAGCGAGCTGCTCCAATTGACAGAGAAGTTCTACTTCTCACCATTTCCAAGTGGTGTGGGCTGGGTGTGGGGCCCAGGCAAACTCTGGAAACAGTCACAAGCCCACTCCAGGGATGGAAATGAGAAGGCGGGGTGGGTGGTCCTGGCCCAGAGAAGTCAGTGGGAAACAGAGACAGGGCCAGGGGACCCACACCTTCCCTCTCCCACTTCTCACTGTAATTCCCTCCTCGCTCACCCCCCACCCTCACTCTTAGGCCGCTGCTCATCCAGAGCAGGGACGATCTCCGTTTCTAGCTTGCTGTGTGACCATGAATCCCTTCACTGCCCTCTCTGGGCCTCTGCCTCCACCTCCAGGTCTCTGCCCCAAGCGTGTTCCCAGCTGGGGCTCCCGGAGTCAGGATGAAGGAGCCCCTAGGAGGCAGGGCAGGCTAAGGAGGATCTGGCTGCTTTCTGCCCGTGGCCCCCTCCCCAGCCACAAGGCTGTGCAGGAGCCTAGCGAGAGCAGGAGAGGGACGGTGGCTGTTGCTTAGCAACTGTGTTGGCTCCTAGGAAACCAAAGGCTTGGGATGCGGCAGGGCTGGGGAGGGAGCAGCCTGCAGCCCCCAGTGGGGGTGTTCCAGGATTTGGGGGCCTCAGGAGGGAGGGATGTGGATGGTGACTGGGGTGCGGCTTGAGTTGTCATGGCAATGGGAGGTACAGGGTCCCCGTCTCCTGCCGCCTCTTTGTTCCCAGGCGGGGTGTGGGCATGCATGTTTGTTGAGTGAATGAGTGATTGAGGCCCACCACCCACTGGGCGCTGTGTCCTTGCCCTGTGCCCTGGGCTGGGCCATCTCCCTCTCCTTCACCCCAGGCTGTAGGGTTGGTCTGCTGTTTCTGCCGTTTTCCAGAAGAGGAAACTGGGGCTCAGAGAGGGGCATTCACTTTTCCCAGTGTCCCCCAGCCAAAGAGTCGTCCTGTAGGGCCTGCGGGTCGCCGAGGCCCCTCCCTCCCCACCACACCTCCGTGCGCTGGACCTTTCTGTGCCTCCGTTTCAGCTGGAAGAGGGGGACACGCTAGTCCCTTCTCCCTGGGGTGGGAGGTGCGGAAGCTCCTGGGTCTGCACAGGCGTGGTGGGCCCTGGCTGGGCCCCTGTGCAGAACCCCTGGTTGCCTCGGAAACCAATGCCATCGGAACCGGTGACCTTGAGCCCCCTGCCCAAGGTCCAGCTTGGGTCTTGGTCCTCGCGGGTCACGGGTCCCCTCACTTCTCCCCTCGTCTGTCCCCAGGGACCTGGCCCCTCGGGACATCTCTGGCACCTCTGACCCGTTCGCTCGTGTGTTCTGGGGCGGCCAGAGCGCGGAGACGTCGGTGAGCAGGGACGGGGTGAGCAGGCGGCGGGGCTGGCGGGGTGGGGCCCTGCGCTGGCCCCTCACCACCCGCCCGCACCCCTAGACCATCAAGAAGACGCGCTTCCCACATTGGAACGAGGTGCTGGAGCTGCGGGCCACGCCGGGCGCCCTGACCCCGCTGCGAGTGGAGCTCTGGGACTGGGACATGGTGGGCAAGAACGACTTCTTGGGCATGGTGAGCACCGCCCCTGCAGCACCCTCTGTGGCTCCCCAGTGCCTCCAGAGAATAGCAGGGTGACTGGGATGGTCCCTGAGGGGCGCATGCTCAAGGCTGACCATAGCAGGAAGCAAGATTAAGTAAGAGGGAGGTGGACATCCGCACTGCTTGTCCTGATGTAAAATGGTCCAGCTGTGGGAAACAGTCTGGCAGGTCCTCAAACCGTGGAAGATGGAATTCTCCTATAACCCAGCAATTCCACCCCTGTATACATAAGAGGAATGAAAACCCCGGTTCACACTTTGACATGAATGTTCATAGCAGCATTGTTGAGAGTGGCCCAGAGTGGAAACAACCAAGTATCCACCAACAGATGAATACAATGTGGTATGCCCATACAGTGGAATATTATTCAGCTATGAAAAAGATAAAACACTGACCTGTGCACGCTACACCTCGTAAGACTTGAAGACAATGAAAGTAGTCAGTCCACTGACAGAGAGAGATGGATAGAGGGCGGTAGTATCCGCCAGGGGCTGGGCTGGGGAGTGAGGCTTTCCAGGGAATGGGAGGGAATGTTCTGAGATTCATGTCAAGGATCAAACAACTGAGAATCGGAGAATCCATCGAGTGCACTTTAAAGGGGTCAACTGAAGGATGTGAAGTCTATCTCTGAAAACTTGTCACCTCCCCCGTCCCCCGGGGACTTAGGGGTCTCCTGGACTGTCTTGAAGCCTTTTGACGTTGCCGTTTGCATCTCTGAAGATGACCCAGTCCGATCTGCTGTCTCTAGCAGCCTGGTGACCCTGGGCAAGTCACCCCACCTCTCTGGGCCTTAGTGGCCTCAATTGTAAATTCAGTGTCCCCTGGAGGCCCCCAGTTCCCTGGCAGGAGCTAACGATTTGGGACTGGGAGAGCGGAGGTGACCCCTGGCAGGTCCTGCCTCCGCCCTGTGGGGGGCAGCCTGAGCCCTTCCAGGAGCCCGCTGAGGGGTGCGTCCCCACAGGTGGAGTTCCCGCCCCAGACCCTGCAGCAGAAGCCGCCCAGCGGCTGGTTCCGCCTCCTGCCCTTGTCCAGCGCCGAGGAGGATTCTGGGTAGGTGTGGGTGTGGGGGAGGGGCTGGCCTGGCCACTGGGGAGGGTCCCTGGGCGGTGGGCGGGTCCTCACTGGCCAGCCCCAGACGGTGCCCCTTATTCATTGTCCTCTGTTGGTGACCACATTTGCTGGATGAGCTGTGTCCAGCGTGTCCACCTCCCCCGTCCCCTGGCTAGGGGGGACAGGGGCGACCTTGATGTCCTCTCAGAGCCGAGGGTCCCAACACACTCGTTCTCGCTGGCCACGGGGTCTCCCGGGTCCTTCCCTGCCTGCACCTGCGGGCCTCAGTTCACACCTGCCCACACCTGTCCCCAGGTGTGCACGCCACCCAGGTTGTGATTCTGCCCAGGCCTCAGTGCCAGGGTCCCCCTGCCCATGCGTACTTGTGTTCTCGTCCCTCAGGGGCAGCCTGGGGGCCCTGCGGCTGAAGGTGCGGCTCTCGGAGGACCGCGTGCTGCCCTCGGGGCGCTACCAGCCGCTCAGGGCGCTGCTCCTGGACGCCGTGAGGGCGCCGGCCGAGGTGGGTGCGCCCCCTGCCCAGGGAACCCCATTTGGGCTCCTGGCTCCGGGGTCCCGGGCCCCAGGTCATCTCTTGGCTTCCTGTCCCTGCCCAGGAGGACACTGCCAGCCCCCTGGCTGTGCTGGAGGAGGTGGCCTCGGGGGACTGCCGCGGGGACCTGGCCACCACCCTGGTGAAGCTGTTCCTGGGCCAGGGCCTGGCCGGGCCCCTGCTGGGCTACCTCACCCGGAGAGAGGTGGCCCGCACCAGTGAGTGGCCGGCCTGTCTTTCCGGGGCAGGGTCTGCGGGGGCCCTGGGGCAGCACAGGGCCCAGGCTGAGGCTGGGGTTCCTTCCTGCCCGTCCCTTGCTGCGCACCCCGCTGTCAGCCTCCCAGGCCCAGGCCCTGGTCTGGCCACCTGGGAGCTGTGTGACCGCGGGCAGCTGGCTTGACTTCTCTGGGCTGGGTACTGTGAACAGAGTCATGTTCGGGTCTCCCTGATGCTTGAGGCCAGGAGAGTCAGGGCCCCAGTCTCAGGCGCCTGGGCTCCGCTGGGTGCAGCCGCCAGACCCAGTGACGCTCACCTCCCTGCAGCCGACCCCAACACGCTCTTCCGCTCCAACTCCCTGGCTTCCAAGTCCATGGAGCAGTTCATGAAGGTGAGTCTAGGCGTCCAGTGGGGACCAGGCCGATCCCTTGGGGACTCTCTTCCTCCCTCCCAGTGCTACCTGGGCCCCAGAGTTGGCTGGCCTTGGTGGACTGGTGGCTGAGCTGGGGTACTGGGGCTGGTGGCTGGTTCTCCCTGGGTGGTGCCCGTGGGCATGCCAGGCCCCCAACCTCTCCCTGCAGGGCCCCTGTCCTCAGCTCAGGGTCCCCCCCAGCCCTCAGCTGCTCTGTGTGGTGCCTCTGTCCCCAGCTCAGGGTCCCCACTTGGCCCTCAGCCTGCTCTGTGTGCTGCTGCCCCTGTCCCCAGCTCAGGGTCCCCCCGCCCTCAGCTGCTCTGTGTGGTGCCCCTGCTCCCAGCTCGTGGGCATGCGCTACCTGCACGAGGTCCTCAAGCCAGTGGTCAGCCGCATCTTCGAGGAGAAGAAGTACGTGGAGCTGGACCCCTGCAAGATGGACCTGGGCCGGGCCAGGTGAGCGGAGCCCAGGGACCGACCCCTGTGCTGCGGAGACCTCACCTGGAACCAGCCAAAGCCCCGTGAGGCAGGGAGGGAGCGGGGCTGGGACGGAGTCATCCATGCCCCTCTGGGCTCCTCCTCCTTTCTTTCCAGAATCTTCTCCCCTTCTGCAGGGCCAGAGGAGCTGGTTGCTGGGCCCTGGTGGGGACAGCAGAGGGTCGCTCCTTCCTTTTGGGCCCTGCCCACATGTTCCAGCCCCCTCAGAAGCAGGCATGAGGCCCCCTTTTTACAGTTGAGGGAACAGAGGCTCAGAGAGGGAAGGCCGTCTGCCTAAGGTCACACAGCTGGGAAGGTACAGAACAGGAGCTTGAGCCCAGACTCTGAGCAGAAAAGCAAAGTCCATCTCTGAAGCTTCAAGCTGCGGGCTCTCCCCAGCTCGCCTGGACACTGGGAGACTCCACGGGCACCTGGGACCTGGGGGTGGGGCAGATGCCGGAGCTGGTGGTCCTGAGTTCCAGGGCCAGCTCTGCCACCCATTTGCAAGGGGACCTCTCTGAGCCTCGGCTTCTTTATCTGTTCAAAGGGAACAATCGGGCTGTCTAATGTATCAGGTCTTCACTGGGGTTAGGTGACACAGTGCCAGCAGCTTTAGCCCAGGGCAAGGAGGGGTTGAGCCTTCAGCCTGCTCCAGGGAGTTCTGAGTGTGGGGCTGGGCTGGGCAGACCCTCGGCCTCAGAGGAGGAGGGAGACGAGATGAGGGAGAGAGGGCCACTACCCAGCCATCTACTCAACAAAATGACAGTTGGATGCCAGGCTCTGGGCCCAACATGGAGGAAACAGCTGGGAACCGAGGGGACAAAGCGCCATTGGGGGGCAGGTCACCATCAACCTGAAGAAGGTCCCTGGAGGTGGTCAGTGGGGGGTGGGTGACACTGGGAGGGGCTCATGATTCTCCTGGCTAGTGGCAGGGGACATTCAGGCAAAGGCTTGAAGTCAGCGAGGGTAGGAGTCATGTGGAAATTTGGTGGAAAAATGCTCTGGGCAGGGGGATCAGCAAGTGCAAGGGCCCTGTGGTGGGAGCAGGTGTCTCTCCTGTCCCCACTAAAAATGCACCAAACCAGGGTTTGTGAAAAGGGGCATGTCTGCTTTGAGGGGGTGACATTTAAGCTGAACATAGAGACAAGAATGTCCCAGGCCAGTATAAAGACCCAGAGGTGGGAGTAAGCTCAGGGCGATCAAGCAAGAGCAAGAAGCCAATTGGCACATGCCTGTGATCCCAGCAGCATGGGAGGCTGAGGCAGGAGGATCTCAAGTTGGAGGCCAGCTTCAGCAACTTAGCGATACCCTGTCTTAAAAAATAAAAAGGGCTGTGCACAGTGGCTAAGCGCCCCTGTTCAATCCCTAGTACCAGTGCGGGGGCGGGGGGTGGTGTTTCCAGCCAGCAGACCAAGGTCTCTCTGGTCCCCCAGGAGGATCTCCTTCAAGGGTGCACCCTCAGAGGACCAGGTGCGGGAGAGCAGCCTGGGGCTGCTGACCGGCTACCTGGGGGCCATCGTGGACGCCATCGTGGGCTCCGTGGGGTGCTGCCCGCCCGCCATGCGCCACGCCTTCAAGCAGCTGCGCCTCTGTGTGGCAGAGCGCTTCCCGCAGGCTGAGCACCAGGTGCGCCCCGCGCCGGACAGGTGGGAGGTGGGGGCGGGGTGCGGTGGCAGCTTGTGGCACCTGGGAGCGGGTGCAGGGGTGGGACCAGGGCTGAGGGTTCCAGGCAGCGCCCAGCGAGGGCCGGATCTTGTTTTCAAGGACTCGCGTCTTCACCTTCTGATCCAACCTTCACACGGCCTCGCACAGCGGATCCCCGTGTTATTCCCATTTCCCAGAGAAGGAAACTGAGGCCTAGGGCGGGAGTCACAGCGAGGAAGGGCCGGGGCTGGCTCTGATTCTGTGCTCATGGCCACCGTGGAGTCGGTGCCAAGCAAGCCCTTCCTGTGTTTCAGCTGAGACAGGCCGCGGGAGGAGGGGACCGGGGTGCTCTGTAGGAAGCGAGGGAGGTCCACCCTGACTCCCTGCTCGCTAGGGCTCGGCCACTGTGAGACAGAAGGTGGGACGCGGGGTTGAGGCAGGCGAGGTGAGCAGAGCAGACGCGGGGCAGTGGGGAGTGGCGGGGACTGTGGCAAACCGCAGCTCCGACGGTGTGTGTCAAGGGTCCACTGGGGAGTGGAGGCCAGATTGCCACGTCCTCAGAGTGACGCTGGCCGAAGGCCAACCTCTGGATTCTCTGTGAGGTCTCTGGTTTATAAACGGTGGCACTAAAATCACCACCACAGACAGCCCCCAGACACCTTGGACCAGTCATGACCGATGGGTGGTTGGCCTGGTTTAAGGCTCAGCACACCTCTGAGGCGGCTCTCACCGCCCTGGCCTACGGATGATCTCAGTTGAGACTTTTTCCTTTTTTCTTTCTTTTTTCTTTGGTACTGGGGATGGAACCCAGGGGTGCTTCACCACGGAGCCACGTCCCCCGCCCCGTTTTTTATACTTTTACTTAGAGACAGGGTCTCACTGAGTTGCTTAGGGCCTTGCTGCGTTGCCGAGGCTGCCTTTGAACTCACGATCCTCCTGCCTCAGCCTCCCCGAGTTGCTGGGATCGCAGGCGTGTGTCACGTGCCCTGCAATGCTCATCTGCACAGGGCCAAGTGGCAGAAACGCAGGCCTGAGGTTCACTTTTCAGGAAGATCTGAGACTCTCTGGGAGTCGGAGACGCGGTGGCCCAACTCCCGGCGCCTGGCCTGGCACTTGTGCCCTCTGCCCCCTCTCCTCCACACTTCCTGCTTGAACACGGGAAACTGAGGCCCAGAGAAGTCCAAGCCCCTGCTGGAGGGTCAGGGACCCTAACCTAGTTTGATGCCCAGCAGAAGCGGCCCCTCTCCCCCACCCACTGGGAGTGAGCACGGGGTCCCCAGGCAGGGACATGCTCCCGGTGTCCCGCTTTGCTAGAGTCTCACAGCCGTGGCAGGAGCAGGGGGGGGAGCCTGCCCCGGTGGCCCAGCCCCGGGGAGAAGCAAGCCCTTGCCTCCAAGGTGGTGGGCAGCAGGACCTCACTCAGGCCCTGGAGGGTCGGGAGGAGGGTGCCAGAGCACCCCGTGAAGGACCCACCAAGAGAGGGGGCGAGAGGGACCTCGGGGACAGCCCAGGGTCCAGATGGAGGGGAGAGATCTTCCTTGGACGCCCTGGTGCCCAGCTCCTGCAGGCTCCCGGGCAAGACCGAGATGCCCCAGGAAGCTGGCCCACGGGCATCGTGTGGGGTGTGACTGCCACCCCTAAATAAGCACGGGCGCACGTTGTCAGCTGGATACAGCCCGCGAGTGTGAGGGGGAGGCGGCTTGGGGAGAGGGAGGTGCAGCCCGGAGGGAGGAGCCGAGCGCCCGGCCCAGGCTGGCCGCGAAGGGCGCAGTGCTCCCTCCAGCCTGCAGGGGGCAACAGCCAGGGGCAGGTGCGCATGGGAGGGGCTCTGGAGCCTGCTGCCCTGGGTTTGCCGCTGAGCCTCAGTTTCCTCATCTGGAAGGTGGGGATAACAGGATCCAGGTTATTTGAGGACTCCGTGTGGTGGTCTAGGTTTCGCTCTTGGCAGTGAGTGTGTGCCCCACCTGGTGTCCGACGGCGAGAGGGTGCAGAAGAACACAGCTCCCACCTGCCTGGGGTGCAAATCCTGGCTCTGCCACGTTCAGCTATGTGGCCTTGGGAAAATGACCTTCCTTTTCTGGGCCTCAGTTGCCTCCTCTATAAAGTGGGGATCCAATCCCTCGGAGGGTGAGCAGGAAATGCAGGGCGGTCTGGAGAAGATTCTGGGCTCTTGTGGTTACCAGGAGTCGTACGTTTGGATTTGAATCCTGTTTTCTCCGTTCATCAGCTGTGTGACCTCAAACAAATCACCTGCCCTCTCTGAGGTTCTGCTTCCTCCTGTGTAAATCGGGAATAACGGTGGGCCGTGTCCTTGTCCCAGCAAGGGTGTCTGGCTCAGCCTGGTTTTGCAGTGTTGTGGCGTCACCCCGTCTTCCCTCTGCTGGCTTCCTGGTCTTCGCTGCCTGGGGTCCCCGGGCTGGGGGCTCTGGCCCCTCTCACCTGCCGCTCTCCCCCAGGACGTGAAGTACCTGGCTGTGAGCGGCTTCCTCTTCCTGCGGTTTTTCGCCCCGGCCATCCTCACGCCAAAGCTCTTTGACCTCCGGGACCAGCACGCAGACCCCCAGACCAGCCGCTCGCTGCTGCTGCTGGCCAAGGTGCCAGCAGTGGGGAGCCATCCTGGGCCCTCTGAGCCAGGGAGCAGCCTGACAGGAACAGCCCCGGAGGCCAGAAACCCCAGGAGACCCCAGAGCATAAGGAAATCTCCACCCTTCCAGGAGGCATGGGGTGGGGTGGGGGGGGAGAGCTGGCTAGCAGTCCTTCACACCTTAGTGTGAATTAGACCATCTTTGGCAAAGTGGCAGGAACCTGAGGCTCTGGTGGGCTCCTGAGTACAGGGTTGGGCTGCCCTGGGTGGGTCTAGTCTTGGGAGGGAACAGAATAAAGGGACTGGACTGTGGATTCCCAAAGGGGGAGGGAGGGAGGAGCAGGTACCACCCAAGGCCCTGATCTGGGCCCACAGAGGACCCTTGCCTCTCAGTGACCCTGGTGTCCCTGCTCCCCTGCCCCAGGCTGTGCAGAGCATTGGAAACCTGGGCCAGCAGCTGGGCCAGGGCAAGGAGCTGTGGATGGCACCCCTGCACCCCTTCCTGCTGCAGAGCGTCTCCCGCGTGCGGGCCTTCCTGGACCAGCTGGTGGACGTGGATGGGGATGAGGGTGAGTTCCCCTGGCCCCCACACCTAGCGCATCACCCCACTGAGAGCACTTGGGGCCTCTCCCCATCCCCAGGTCCTCAGCATGGAAGACTGTGGGCCTGCATATCTGCTAGTCAGTCAACAAACATTTCCTGGCAGAAATGCTAAGTCCCAGAGATGAGCAGAACTCAGGCCTTGTCCTCTAGGCCATCTCAGCCAACAGAGGAGTGGGGCTTGGTGGGCACACCACGGGCAAATATCTATTAAGTTATATAAAAGTCACCTTTGTGGGTGCTTGGGGTACAGCAGCAAATGAGACCGAAGAAGATCCTGCTGTCATAGAAGTTTTATTCTAGTTTTATTCCACTAGAATAAAATGAATTAGCAACTGTAAACGAAATGAAGTAGCAAATTATGTGGGGGGTGAGGGAGTTGTAAGTGCTGAGGAGAAAAAGAGGTGTGGGGGGCCGTGTTGAGAGGTAGCGGCAGGTTGAGCTTTTAGATTGGGTGCGCAGGAAGGGCATCACTTGGTGATATCAGAATAAACACCTGAAGGAGGACCGAAAGCTGCGGGGATCCTAGGAGGAGTGTTCCAGGCAGGACAGCACGTGCAAAGGCCCTGAGGTAGGAGGAATGCTGCAGGGAGGGCCAGTGAGAAAGAGTGAGTGAGAGGGTGCGAGCAGCAGGGAGCCCAGGGAGCCGGGTCCTTGGGGCCTCACAGGCATGGGAAGGATTTTTGTCTTTCACTTGGAGAGAAGTGGAGCCCGGGTGAGTCTTGAGCAGAGGAATTGGGGTTGAGTCCATTTTACAATATGGGTCCCAGGTCGCCAGGTAGTTCCAAGTCCCATGGGAGCAACCTGTGGAAACCCTCCAGGCTGTGGCCGGCCTGGGTCCCTCTCCAGGGGCTGGATCCAAGGGGTGTCTCTGGGCTGGGCTCCCCCTGCTGGCCGCCCGCGCCACTGCCTGCAGGTCCCTGGGTGGGAGAGGGGCCAGGGCCGGCTTTGTCCTGGTGGAGTCCAGAGCCTTGGAGGCCTTGGCAGGCCGGCAGGGCAGGTGGCGCTGGACAGAAAGGGCTCACTGATTCGGCCTTCCTTTCCCATTTCCCAGAGGCTGGTGGCCCAGTGAGGGCCCTGGTCCCGCCCTCGGTGACACTTCGAGAAGGCTACCTGCAGAAGCGCAAGGAGGAGCCGGCCGGCCTGGCCACGCGCTTCGCCTTCAAGAAGCGCTACTTCTGGCTCAGCGGGGAGGAGCTGGCCTGCGCCAAGGGCCCCGAGGGGCAGGTGGGGCTCGGGCTGCGGGGCGTGGCCCTGGGGGGGGGCCTGCCCCTCCCCCAGCTGCTTTGCACCCAGAGGGAAACTGAGGCCCCGGGGCACCTTGGCACCTCCAAACTCACAGCTGGGGCCAGTTCGGGCCAGGAAGGGACAGGCATGATCCTGATCCTCCACGCGCCAACCAACGTCCTGCAGGAAGGTCCACTTCATGCGCGGACGCGTCCTCCCGGGGTGGAGAGGCCCAGGGCAGGGACAGCGCTTGCCCCCAGGTCTTAGACTCGGGTGTGGCTGGCTGTGGAGGCTGCATTGGCTCGGTTGCTCATTCACTCAGCAAACATTCACCAACTGCCTCCTACCGCCAGGCCCTGTCCCAGGCAATGGCCACAAGGGGCTGGCATTCCCAGCTAACCCAGACCTGGACGCATGCGGGCCACGCGTTCCTGCGCGCGCACCCACTGTGTGACTCGCGCTGGTGGGGACCCAGCTGTCTCTTGGGTTTTATTCATATAGGTATTTCAAGGCATGGACTCCCGGGGTTCCCGTTCTGGCTCCACCACGTGAGTGGTCTCAGAAGGGTCCTCTCTCTTCTTGGGCCTCAGTTTCCTCATCTGCAAATTGGGAAGAATTACAAACCTAACCTGGGCCGTTTGTTGTGGTGATTAAATGAGTTGATAAATGGAAAGCGCTCGGGTCACATTCCAAGCGGCTTTGAAGATGACCGTGATGATGATGATGGCAACTGAGGCCCAGAGAAGGAAGTCACAGCCAAGGGACAAGGACACGGAGCGCAGCTATAAGGGTCCAACGTGCTCTGCCCTGGGGGCTCCACCGAGGCACACACCTAAAGCTGCCCCCTGGGCCACCCCGCCCCGGCCAGCAGCCTGTTCTGCAGAGACACCCCTCTTCCCTAGGAGCGCAGCTCCATCCCGGTGTCGCACATCCGCGCCGTGGAGCGCGTGGACGAGGGCGCCTTCCAGTTGCCCCACGTGATGCAGGTGGTGACGCAGGACGGCGCGGGGGCGCTGCACACCACCTACCTGCAGTGCAAGGTGAGGCCCTGCCCGGAGGGGGCGGAGGGCGCGCCTTGGCCCCGCCCCGCCCCTGACCACGCCCACTCCTTGCAGAACGTGAACGAGCTCAACCAATGGCTGTCGGCCCTGCGCAAAGCCAGCGCCCCCAACCAGGACAAGCTGGCCGCCTGCCACCCGGGTGCCTTCCGCGGCGGGCGCTGGACCTGTTGCCTGCAGGCTGAGCGCCCAGGTGAGGGGCAGGGGAGACTGCGGGTTCTGCCCTTCCCACCTGTCCATTGGCGGGAATCCCATTTCCGTCTGGGAGGGCTGTGCAACCTTAAGCAAGTTACTTAACCTCTCTAGGCCTCGCTCTCAACTGTGAGATGGGGTGGACAGTAGTACCAAGCTCAGGGTTCCTGTGAGGAGTAAGTTAATAGGGCAGACAATTAATTGGAACAGAGTGGCTAGCACACTGCTAGGCCCGCAGTGCTCCTTAGTGTGAGGTGCTATTTTTAAGTACTCGCTCTACGGGCCACCCAGAGCCGCAGACCTGTGCTGGCTCTCCAGGGAGCTGGGGACCGACCTTGGGGTCTGCGGCATGGTCAGCAAGCGCTCTACCCCCGAGCTTCGTCTCCACCCCCAGCCAGACAATGACAGTGCAACTTTACAAGCGTCTACACGGGACTTTGGGGACTCCAGAGAATGCCCTGATCCAGCCCCGGGAACGGGATAGGGGATCCAGGAGGGCTTCCGGGAAGAGGTGACGCTAGCTGAGGCCTGAGTAGCGTGGAGACGGGGTGGGTGAGAACGGACAGAGGAACAGCCTGAGCAAAGGCCTGGGGTGAGGCAGGGTGGGGGTGTCTGCGCCCTGGGTCCCGGAATATGGAAGGAGAAAAAGGAGAGCGAGGCTTTGGAGTCCAGGGAGCAGGCCTGGGGCTGATGAGAGTGGAGGCAGGGAGGCCAGGGAGGAGGTTCCTGGGGGAGCCCAGGGCTTGACCAGAGCAGAGGGGGTGGGACTCCAGAGAAGGGTGCGATTGAGGGGCCCTGGCTTGGAGACGCTGGGCAAGA